TCGCCGCCAGTTCCGGTGGGCCCAATTCCTTTCTGATTTTGCTTTTCGCATTTACCACCGCCCTGGTCGCCTCAACACCAAAGCCGATGCTCTCAGTCGCCGTTCTGACTTTGAGATAAAGCCTGGTGACTCCCTCCACTCCACCAACTTCCTTCAGCTGTTCGAGTCTATTTCTCTCGACAGCATCACCGTTATCGGCTCGAACCCCGATTTTCTTTCCGAGATTCGAGCTGCCACCCTTTCTTGTTCCCTTCTTTCTGACTTCAACGCCAAACGTCTTGATGGCGATTACTCCTTCCGTGACGGTCTCCTTTACTTTAAAGACCTGATCGTTGTCCCTTCCCCCGAGCTCCAGCTCAAAGTGTTTGAGCAACGTCACTGCTCCGCTGCCGCTGGTCACTTTGGTCTTGCCAAGACCGTTGAGCTCATCTCCCGGGACTTTCACTGGCCCCGGCTTCGTAAGTCTGTGCGTCGCTTCATTGCTAATTGTGAAGCGTGCCAGCGAGCCAAGCCGTCCCGTCACTCCCCTTATGGTTTACTTCACCCTCTCCCCGTTCCTTCCGAACGTTGGTGGGACCTGTCGATGGACTTCATCACGGATCTCCCACCTTCGAACGGCTTTGACTCCATCTTCGTGGTTAAGGACCGCCTGTCCAAACAAGCACACTTTGTGCCCACCACGAAGACGGTTACAGGCGAGCAAACCGCCGAACTCTTCCTCTCCCACATCTTCCGCTTGCATGGTTGTCCCCGGTCTATTGTTTCGGACCGAGGAACTCAGTTTACTTCGGCCTTCTGGAGGCGCTTCAATGAGCTTCTGAAGACGAAGATTTCCCTTTCTTCTGCCTTCCACCCCGAGACCGACGGTTCGACCGAGGTTCTCAACCAGGTCATCGAGCAGTATTTGCGTATCCATTGCAATTACCTGCAAGACGACTGGACCCTTCACCTTCCCCTTGCCGAGTTCACTTACAACAACTCGGAAAACACCTCCACTGGCATGACTCCCTTCTTTGCAGTCCATGGCCATCACCCCATTTTTGATCCCTCCATCATCCGTGATCCTTCTGTTGTGCCCTCTGCCGAAGAACGTGTCGACCGACTTCAGACCGTTCTCGAGGATCTCAAGGCCAACCTCCGGGTTGCCCAAGAGTCCTACACTTTGCAGGCCAACAAATCCCGTCTCCCCACTCCCGACATCTCCGTTGGCGACCTCGTTTTTCTTGATCGTCGCCACATCCGCACCCTTCGTCCCTCCAACAAGCTTGATCAGAAAAAGCTTGGCCCCTTTAAAGTTCTTCGCCGCATCAACCCCGTTGCCTTTGAACTTAAACTCCCTTCCACACTCAAAGTCCACCCCGTCTTTCATGTATCCCTCCTTGAACCCCGAACGAAGGACATTGTTCCCGAGTTCACCCAACCCGAACCTCCACCCATTCTTGTTGACTCCCAGGAAGAGTTTGAGGTCGAGACTGTTCTCGATTCTCGGCTCTTCCGTGGTCGCTTACAGTACTTGGTTCAGTGGAAGGGCTATTCCGAGACTGACCGGTCTTGGGAGCCCGCTGCCAATGTTTCCCACGCCACTGATCTTGTTGCTGACTTCCACCTTCGCTATCCCTCAAAGCCGAAGGCGACGCCCGGAGTTCGTCGCTAAGGAAGGGGATGATGTTAGGGATAGCTTCTGCTTGTTCTCCACTTTGACTGCACACTTGGCTATTCTTTTGCCTTTCTGTTTGTTTGTGTGTAGCCTTGCAGTTCCCCTCCGATTTTCCGCCTTTTGCCTGTCTTTTCCGCTCCTTCCGCACTTCCGTTTTCCCGCGCTGCTCCGCTTCCTTTGTCTTCTTCGCACGCGCCGGTTTGTTTGTGCACGCGCCTTGCTGCGATTGGTTGCAATTCGGCTGCCGGTCATGTGTCCCCCCACCGGTGACTCATGACCTGCCTGACCGCCCCGATCTCTTGTTCATCTCGCATGCATTTGCCCCAACCTTATACTTGACCAATCCGCTTCTTGGACGTTGAGTCACATTGCTTCGCCTTTGCACGTTTCTCCTGCCAGGTGCTTCGCTTTTGCTTGCGCCTCTCTCGCTTTGGTTCTCTGCCTGTCTCGGTGGTCCTTCTCGGCCCTCGTTCGTGCATCGCCCCCTTCGCCCTGCTCGATCGCCCACTTTTCCCTCCCTTGGCCGCCCTTCGCTGCCAAGTCCGGACTTGTCTATAAATAGCCTGACCCCCGCGATGTGTAGTCGAACCTTAGCGTTCAAAATAGGACTAAATAAAGTGCCTTCTACTTTATTCTCTGAGTGTTCCTCACGTCTCATTTCGAGACAAGTCTTATCTTGAACGGATCTTTGCTTCCCTCGCTCCCTCTCCGAGTCCACTTCGGACTCTACCCTTGCTTTCCCTGAGCTCACTTCGAGCTCACTTCTTCTTTTGCCGTTGAGTCCCCTTTGGACTCTAACAGGATCTGGGATCTGGGAAGTCCTTGGGATCTCGCCAGGGCTGCCTGGGTCGGAAAGAAAAAAAAAACCTCAAAGACCGAGGGATCAGGATCCTAGGAAGATCCCAACTAGCCCCCAGCATGATCCTAGCAAGAACCCAGCAAGATCCCAGGGCTTGGATATCCCCCAAGGTTTTTTTTTTCCAGAGGCTGCCTGGTCGGCCGGGTCTTCTTGGGACTTCCCAGATCCCAATATTGACTTCACAGGTGCACGTGAAGCCATCCAGCGGGCTGTAGTGGGCTCCATTGGGTTCCAATGGATTCCAGTTGGTTCCAATGATCCCAGGGCCTATCGGGGCTGTGATGTCGGATGGTTGTCTGGATCTATATGATCTGGGCAGTTCTATGGGGCCACTCTATAGTGGGCTTGGGATCTGGGAAGTGGGATGTCCTCTGGATCTATCCAGGGCCACCTGGGTTAGAAAAAAAAAATAGAAAATATCTCTGGGAGATCCCAGCTAGGCCCCAGCAAGATCTTTGACAGATCCCAGGGCTTGGGTATTCTCCGAGGTTTTTTTGATTTTTTTTTTTTCTTCAGAGGCTTGGTCGCCTGCAGGAACCTTTGGGAACTTCCCAGATCCCATTATGAGATCCCAGGGCCTATCGGGGATGGGATGGGATGGTATGTCGGATGGATCTCTGGATCTATATGATCTGGCCAGTTCTATGGGGTCACTCTATAGTGGACCTGGGATCTGGGATCTGGGATGTCCTCTGGGTTTTGCCTGGGGGCTCTCTGGGTCGGAAATAAAAAAAATATCCTCAGCGACCAAGGGATCAAGATCCCAGGGAGATCCAAACTAGCCCCCAGCAATGTTCTCCCAATATTTCAGCCTCATTCCGCCTGGTTCTCCGTCACCATCATATCGTTGTCTCTCTCGACAGCCCATGAATTGTTTATGTCCTTTAGTTCCGGAACTTCCCCCATAGTACTAGGCTCTAGAGGTTAGGCATCAGACAATAGACCCATCACTGTCATGTCATTTATTTTCATTCTTCCCTTTGGTATATGGTTTAGGATCAGTGAATCATCGGTTGTAGATATACACCCTGACGCATTCCATTGCACATTTCCTTCCAAGTGTCAGAGCTCTGTATATGAGTCATTGTCATAATCAAATGCGGACTCAGCGGCTATGAGTACGGCACCTCGAAGTGAGCTTAGCGAAAACAATTTGACTGTCCGAAGGAGACCTCTGAGGGAACGAGGATGACAAAGAATCCTTCAATATCAGATCAGTCTCGACGTGGGACATGCAGGAAATTCTCAGGATGCAGTAGAAGGCGCTTTATTTAGTCCTATTTTGAACGCTGAGGTTCGACTACACATCGCGGCGGTCAGGCTATTTATAGTCAAGTCCGGACTTGGAAGCGAAAGGCGGCCAAGGGAGGGAAAGGTGGGCGATCGAGCAGGGCGAAGGGGGCGAAGCACGAACGAGGGCCGAGAAGGACCACCGAGACAGGCAGAGAACCAAAGCGAGAGAGGCGCAAGGAAAAGCGAAGCACCTGGCAGGAGAAACGTGCAAAGGCGAAGCAATGTGACTCAACGTCCAAGAAGCGGATTGGTCAAGTATAAGGTTGGGGCAAATGCATGCGAGATGAACAAGAGATCGGGGCGGTCAGGCAGGTCATGAGTCACCGATGGGGGGACACATGACCGGCAGCCGAATTGCAACCAATCGCAGCGAAGCGCGTGCACAAACAAACCGGCGCGTGCGAAGAAGACAGTGGAAGCGGAGCAGCGCGGGAAAACGGAAGAGCGGAAGGAGCGGAAAAGACAGGAAAAGGGCGGAAAATCGGAGGGGAACTGCAAAGCTACACACAAACAAACAGAAAGGCAAAGGAACAGCCAAGTGTGCAGTCAAAGTGGAGAACAAGCAGGAGCTATCCCTGACATCGTACTTCTCTCGTATTCCCACTGTCTCCATCCATATGGCATGAGCTCCATCGCGCTATCCTTCCACTCTGTGCTCAATCTTTCATCTCACGTTCTAGGTTTCAATGTCCATTGACTATGTACACACAATGATTCCATCCACTACATCTATCCGAGGTCCCGTCTTGCTCCTTCTCACCCCTCCCTGCTCCTTCCAGTTTCCCTCACTCCGTCCCATGCGCTCCCGGAGTTCTTCCGGTGTTTACCCGTAGTTTAGCCGCCTCTCCGTTCACCCGGCACCAAGCCGGAACGGTTCCGATCCCTCCGCCATTCTGCGCACCAATCGTTTCCTTCCACGCCTTTTGTTTACGCGCGTGGCTAACCGCGTGCTCTTGCCTTGCCCTCTGGGTGGTTCCCCGATGACGCCATCGGGTAACACATGCCGCTGGGCTGTGGCAAGCCTCCCTCGCTTGCACCTCGCCTGTTCTCGCACACCCCCTTCTCAGTCCTCGGTGCTACACCGCCCCCGTCGCCCGCCGGAGACGGCTTCCGCCCACCTCGTCCCCCGGGGGTGTCCCCGGTCTATAAATAGGCCAACGCTCGCCAGCAAGTTTCGCACTCCAGACGGAACAAGAAGCGTTCTTCCTTAGCTTTCCTGTTCTACTATCCGCCTGCTCCTCTTATCTACCTCTCTTTCACACGCCTTCCATCCGCCCTTCACACCTGCCCTTTACAATTTGGTCGATTCTATCCCGTCTCGCTCCCTGTCTACAAAGTCCCCCGAACTAGTCACCTCTCTCTTCCCTTCAACTTCTCCTGTGGTTCTTACCTGCCAAATTCCTAAGCTGAGTGTAAGCCAACATATCACCAATGAGTCCTCGCCGTCTCGTTCTGTGTCCCATACTAACAGATTTGTATTTGTTGTGTCTTGTATCATGATGCCAGTCGCGTTCGACCATGCAAGCCGCCGTCACCGATCACCCTCCGCCCGACCTTGATAGCACTTCGGACACTGAATCTGCCGATACTATCATCGATCCAGTCCAAGACACTGTCAGTTCCGATGAGGGTTCGGACTCTGTTGTTCTGGATGATCCCGAGGCTTCCGTTCCCAAGAATCAGGATCTCATGTCCCCCATGCCTGTGTACTTCAAGACTGTGGTCCTTGATCTTTTCAAGAAGCAGCTTCAAAAGGACAAGTCTTTCATTTACAATTTTCCAAAGCCTGAGAAGGATTTCGACTGGACTCGTTGCTTGTTGGTTGATGCAGTTCCCAGGGAGTGTCGGGTCTTTTGTAAGCGCCTTTGCTGTCCCTACCTCTCCCTGCACTCGCAAGACAAGGAGCACTTGATCCCCAAGGTGTATATTGCCATTTCTCATGGAGTGGTGAAGGTTGGCTGTACTGATCCTGAGTGTCAGGCTGCCTCGGAGGAACAAGGGTTTACTGTTCAGTGGACACCTAGCAGCAAGACCTACCGCCCTATGGCCTGGAGAGCCCTCACCTTCGCCCTCCAAAAGGAATGCAACATTGCCGAGCCTGTTCCGGTCCACAAAGGGACTCCTTTGACCCGTCAAAGCCGATCCGTTCGACACCAACTTGATGGTACTGGAAGTAGTGGTGTCGCCACCATTCCTTCGATCTTGCAGGACGTCTCGAATGTCTCTTGGGATAGTATGACCGACTGTCTCGGTTCTGGAAAAGGACACTCACTGTCCCGAGCCTTGCGGTCGGTCCCGTTCATGATCAAGCCCGAACTCATTGTTTCTATCGAGTTCAAAGCAACAGGCCAGTTTATTGTTCAAAGTATGGGATGTCCGATTTGCGAACAGTCGGATTCTGAAGATATCCACTCGACCTTTACACTCGAATACTTCCCGGCAGCTATGTCCTTCACACTTGAGCCTGGACACTGTCAGTCTGTCCACGGAACCCTCAACAGTGACATTGCTAACAACCTGGCGACGTGGCATCGCAAGCTATCGGACTCGACTGTCGATGTAGACGATCAAATGGAGGTCATGAAAACCGACGTCCAGGAAATCATTGCAGCATCATTTGCCAGCTCGTTCATCACCGGCTTCAGTCCACAGACTGATCAAAGAGGATTCAACATTGAACTCAATGGCTCCTGCTTCTTTTGCAAGACCAGTGGAGTCGTGCTCAGTGGATCCATCACCTCCGAAGGATTCCGATTCCGATGCTCAAATTGCAATGTCGAGGACCCAACAGGCCCAAAGCGATTCCCCATCGACCGCTACATGTGGAGCAATCCCTCCAGCAGCTTCACCCAGTACATCAAGCAAATGAATACCCAGTGTGTCAGCAACAGGTTCTCATCCCTTTCGGAGAACGATAAGTGGAAGAGCATTGCCCACCTTCACGATCCCACCCCCTACCTTCAGGATGTCACTGCTCAGGCAGCTCTGTGCTTCAAGGATTATCTCACCAACACCACTGGAAACGCCGAGCTGCTTGATTTCCTTGCTTCTGTGTTCGGGGACGTCTGGTTGCACGATCGTGATCGCCCCGGCAACTGGTACCATTTCAACGGAGTGTACTGGGAAAGGTCCAACGGCAACAGCGAACTCAACAACCTTGTGCTCGATTACTTGAGACGAATCTTCAGGAGGGCCCTGGAGTGGTACTCGGACCTCGAAGGACGCGACCTTCCACATTCTGCAGAAACCATCGGCCACTTTGAGCGAATGAAACAGAAGATGGTGGACTCTGGTTTTGTAAGCCAACTCGTCAATGGCGGACTGTCACATCAACTGTCGGTCAAGTTTCCCGAGTTCAAGCAACGCAGGAACAAGAATCCTTTGCTGCACGTCACCAGGGACGGAACCCTGGACTTGACCACGATGGTGTTTCGACCCAGTAGACCCGAGGACTACTTCACGATGTGGTCGAGCGCTTATTACAACGACCAAGGGACTGAAGCCGTTCTTAGAGCCATGGATCACTTGAACGAAATCATTCGCAGCATCTTTGTGGATCCGGACCAATTCGATTGGAACATGCGCTACTTTGCCAGTCTCCTGGATGGCAACAACGACGAGCAGTTCCTGGTCCTCGGCATCGGCAGCTCTTCCAACGGCAAGTCACTTATGGCCAAGATTCTCCGGATGACCCTTGGCCCGGTGTACTCCAGCATGTTGACCAGCTCCTACCTCCATACAAGTACTCAAAGTAGCTCTGCGGCAACTCCTGAGCTGGCATCCATCGTTGGCTCCCGCTTCGTCTATATTTCGGAGCTTGAACAAAAATCGAACAAACCTCGAGCCCTCAACACCATGCGAATCAAGAACCTTGTCGGTGGTGACGAGGTCGCCTTCCGCGATATCTACCAAGGCCAACAATCCAGGGAGCTCAGCATCAAGTTCATGATGATGTGCAACCCAGAGGACATCAACGTGCCTGAACTCATGAGGCACGATTCCATCCGGCGCCGAATCGTGATCAATCCATACCTGTCCAAGTTTGCTTTGGATCAAAAGGCATTCAACGACTATCGCGCTAAGCATCCGGGGAAACCACTCTTTATGAAGGACGCTACCCTTGGAAACCTCGTTGAACAACAGGAGTACATCAACGCGATGCACTGCCTTATGCGCAAGTGGTATCCCAGATACCGAGATGGTGGATCACTCCTCAGCACTCGACCTTCAATCATGAGCCAGAGCAGCGTAGTTGGAGTACCCACCCAGGCCGATACATTGATCGAGTTCATTGATTCGACCTACATTATCCACCCGCCCGAAACTGAGGGCTTCAACAACACCGATTTCAACATTGCACAGCCGGTTCTTTCACTTGAGTTTTTCAGGTGGTTCAAATCTACCTGCATGGACAGGATCGAAACTGACGAGGTCTCCCGTTCTGTCAAGAGTGTTTGCGACAATACTGTGAGCGAACACAAAATCAAGTACCGAATCGGCAGCATCCTTGATAAGCACCAGTACCTTGCCCCTTTGAAAGTCGAGAAAACCAGCTCCAGTGGCACACAGAATTACCGTGGCCTCGAGAGAAAAGCAAGCCAACAGAAATAAGGGTTTGCATCTGTGCTGCTTTTGATTCACTTCCTTACAGTATCAGTATGTCGATGTGTTTCCCAATTAGTATCCTACTGACTTGTGAATTCAGCTCCTCTGTTGATTCCTTAGTGTTCCCCCTTCAATGAGTACCTTTCAATGATATCCGTTCGTTATATAGTATTAGTACCCACATCAGTGCCTTTATCTGTCCTCTTGGCCTTCTGAGTTCTTCTTCAGTACCCTTTTGTTTGACCATTCTACTCCTGCGATTATGGCTGGACTTCTCTTCCTGTTGTCGACGCATTGGTTCAATAAAAACACACTGTCGGGGAGGCTACATGCCTTGGCCGATGGTACAAAATCAAGAATGTCCAGACCACTGCCACATCTCAGTGACATTATCACAGCAGGCTCGGCTTGAGTTGGTTAGGCTTAGAGGGTTTAGGCTCATAGTGCCGCACTTGTTCACGCTCCCTCTACATGCTCTGCCTGTTGGCCTTTGGTTTGGGTGGGAGTGTATCTTGACAATTCGCTCAGTACACCTGGCTGCTCCATCACTGATACCACTACACAACTGTAACCACACTGACACTGATCCTGGATGATGGGTGTGACTCTTGTTCCACGGCCACATACTGCCATCATTGGTTGGGACCAGTGGTCGCAAGAGTATTGACGTCATGGCGTCTCAGACTGACTATGTGACAAGTCAACGCAGAGTACTCTGAGGAGTGGTCTTGGACTTGGAACCGTGGGAACATGCTGTCTTGGGGTAGGTGCTGCATCCAAGTTGACCCATTTGTGACTGGAGCCATGCCAATCTACTTGTGGTGCATGGTGGATGAACCAATGATCTTCGCCAAGGTTGAGACCACTGACAGATGATGGCATATCCACGATCTCAAAGCATGGATGATGAGTCTGACCTGGCATCCCACATGCCATTCCGATCTCAGACTCCGATCATCGGGTTCGTATCTCCCCCAAACTGACTCAGATTGGGGTATCCGAGGGCGTATCTACCGTGGGAAAGCTGCGTCTGGGGTGTCATGGGATGTGAATTGCATCAACCATGTGTCGTGGATGAGTAATGCATTCGCCGTGGGTGGTGATGGCATTGGTCATCGTCGATGCTGATTCGTGCGATATCGGTGCGCAGACTGTGACGTCGATCACGATGGTCGATCACGATGGCAGATAGGTCTGGTTGGGGCGATTCCCACGATCTTTGACGCTGGCGGCGATGCAGACTGGGAAACGATAAATACGGCAGCGAGGAAGACCAGCTTGACCGACATCGCCAATGCGAGTTTCGGATCGCCAACGCGGGATCGGATCGTGAAACACAGGTTCATCGCACATCGAGTTCTCTGCGAACCGCCGCACCTATCCTGCTCCTGCTGCACCAGTCCTGCTCCTGCTGCACCTGTCCTGCTCTTGCTGCACCGTGTGGCCTGCACCACACTGCTTTCACCTCTGTGTTTGTTCCAGCTCTGCCTCTCCAGTTCCCCGCCCTCGCTCCAACTCTCCCTGTTCCCTACCCTTCCCCACTGCTGAGTGATGTCCAAGGACAGACCCCAGCAGTCCCTTCTCCCGGCCTCGACCATCGCTGTCGGCAGCTTGATCTTCAAGCGCAAGGAGCGACCCGTGGCCACCCCTTCCTCCCCCGCCAAGCGTCGCCTGTCCTTGCCCGACGCAATGACCATGCTCCCCAGGCCGGAGCATGACGAGCGTCTCCCCGAGTCCGAGTTCCCGTCCGTGTCCTTCCCGAGTCCAGGCTCCCGGCCCCGCCCGAGTTCAGGTTCCCGGCCGAACCCGACTCTTCGTTCCCGCCCTTGGACCGCGCTGCCGCCCGTGCCGCCGTCGACATTGATGAACTGGAGGACATCGATGTCGAAGAAGACCTCAGCCCGGACCAAGAGCCCTGACGCTGAGCCCTCGTCCTCCTGTGCCGACCAAGACCACCCTGCCGAGTCCCTGGCTCCCGTGTCCTCCTCCGCCGCTCCCCACCAAGACCACTGTGCCATGGACATTGTTGTCCAGCCCAGTGCCGACGTCGTCTCGGTTCCTTGGCGCGACGAGTTCTGGCGCAAGTGGCACGCCTCGTCCGACGTCGATGATCAGAAGGCTGCAACCCAGATCATCGACGTCACCAAGATGAACAACCAGCTGTGGATGGCCGTGACCGCCAAGCTGCAGTGCACTGTCCTGTGCCGCAAGTGCAAGCTCGCCTCGGCCGATCCCTGGATCGTCGTCAAGCACGGCAAGGACGAGCTCCAGCTCAAGTGTCCCCAGGCCCTCGAGGACGGACCCTGCCCCGGCCAGATGTCGGCCTTCCAGTTCTGGGCCCACATGAGCCGCACCACCAAGGAGTCCCGCAAGCTGTTTGTGGATGCGTTCTCGGACAAGTTCAAGGAGAACTTCCACACCAAGTGCGGCCTCAAGACCATGGACAAGCAGCGCGCCGTCCCCCGTGGTGCCTCTGAAGGCGCCCCTCGAGCAGCCCCTGCTTCCACTGCTGACCCCGTCGATCCAGCTCGTCGAGCTGTTGATGCTGTTGGCACTGCGTCCCCTGTCCCCAAGGCCAGGCCCGTCCTTCCGCCCCGACCCGTCGTCAAGGCCAAGACCCCTCCTCCGTCCCAGGCTCCCGTCCCTGCGATGAAACCCGAGGAGGCCCTCGCTATCCTCAAGCGAGAGGCTGACCGGGTGCAGTCCATCCTGTTCGAGGCACTCGTGGCCGACAACATGGATGCTGCCACCAAGGCCATGGTCCAGAAGATCGCCAAGTCCAATGTGGCAATCAGCCGTGCCACGGAGCAGCTCCGCAAGTCTGTTGCCAACAAGACTGCCACCCCCAAGACCCAGTCCCCCGGTTCCAAGACCCAGTCCTCCGGCTCCCTCCCTGGCTCTGCCCCTGTTTCCGCCCCGTCTCCCTCGTACAAGGCCGCTCTCTTGAAGAACGTTCGGGAGGCCGAGAGCCGTGTCGGCCGCATGTCCGAGGCCAGCCAGCTCGACGAATGGAAGAGGATGCTGACCACCGGCCGAATGCCAGGCTCCTCCAAGCCGATCCAGCCCAACCAGCACCGCCAGCCAGTCCTTGTCCCCGGGACGGTCGCCAACTCTGAGCTCCGGAACGACAAGTTCAGGGAGGCCGTCACCAACATGGACTGGCTGTACGTCGAGGGCATCCGCTGTGGCGACCTCGGCAGTGTCCGCCGCAACCTCAAGCGATGCGGCATCGACACCAGGGAGTTGGCCGAGATCAACTTCCCTGAGGCCACGGTCATGGAGGTCCTTGTCCGCGACAAATCCAACAAGGCCGACCTTGGTGCCCGTCTGGAGTCGCTGTCGTCCACACATGGCAGGGTCAGGGTCGTACCGGCCTACGACGTCATCCATGGTCTCAAGCACCATGGACTGGCCCTGTCCCGATCCGATGCCATCAAGAACTTTATGGCAAAGTCCCTCCGCCAGGCAGCCAAGGCCAAGACCGCCCCTGTCCGCCGCTGCATCCAGATGCGCATCCCCGAGGAGTACCGCGACGAGTACGACTCGCTCCTCAAGAAGGCCCTATCCGGCAAGGAGGTCAAGCGGGCGGACATCACCGCCGTCCCCAAGGTCCCTGGTTCTGCCGCTGCCGCTGCCTCGTCTGCCTCTGCCGCTGCCGCTACCGCTGCCCCTGCCGTTGTCGTTGCTGTCGCTGCTGCTGCTGCCCCCGCCGCTGGTGCCTCGTCAAAGCCCAGCAAGCCTCACCCCGCCTACAGAGTCCCGCTGTCCGTCATGGACACTGACTCTGAAGGAGAGGGCCCCCGGGCCAGCAGCAGCGCTGCACGACTCCAATGAATCCACACCCCTCGCAGGGAGGCGGCAGGGCCCAGACATCCCTGACCGTCGCTTCCTTCAATGTCTGTGGCATCAACGTCAACGACGTTGAACTCAAGAACCTCATCGACACCAACGACATCGACTTTGTCGGTGTCCAAGAAACCCTCGCCGACCTCGAACCCCGCAGCCCTCTCTGTGGCTATGCCGTCAAGGTCCCTGGTCCCCGTTGCCGCGCCGGCAGAGGCATCGCCATCCTCTACAACCCGGCCAGGATCGACCCGCACGACTTCACCAACATTGAAGTCAGCGACAAGGGCGACGCCATGTGGGTGACATACAAACACGTCATCCACATCGGCAACTTCTACCTGTCCCCGAGCCTCAAGCTGGACGACTACCGCGAGGCCCTCCAGTCGATCCACACCAAGGCCGCCCTCCCCGACGCCCAGGTCATTGTGGTGGGTGACTTCAATGCCCACCTCAGTGCCCTGAGCGGACTGCCCACGCCGCTCCGTGGCAGGGAGAAGATCCTCGAGGACACTGTCTCCCGCGCCGGTCTCCGCGTTGTGCCTCCAGCTGTGATCCCGACCCACACCCGGCAGCGGGGTCCCAGCTGGACAACGATCGACTACATCTTTGTGTCGCATCGCCAGGCCAACAACGACCCGCTGCTGCAGGTCGACACTGCCGGTGCCTTCCGTGGCCAGTCCGACCACTTCCCCATCTGGGCGACTCTGCGGGTACAGCCAAAGTACTACCCAAAGGTCGACCAGTGGCAGTGGAAGATCGCCCAGCTCGAGGATCCCGCCGTCCGCGCCCAGTACCTCTTGGCGCTGCTGGACGAGCGCGAACGCGGTCTGCAGCGCATACAGGCTGCACTCCGGCCAATCTCAAGGGGATCGGTCATTCCGATCTCGGAGAGTGCGGCCCAGGACTGCATCGACCGCGCCTGGTCCATCATGATCGCCCTGATCACCACCGCTGCCGACTCCACCATCGGCAAGGCTTCCATCAAGACCGTCTGGAAGGACCCGGCCCTGATCCCCGAGATGCGGCAGCTTCGCGAGAGGCGCCGCGATCTCATCTACCAGCTCAAGTTGCCCGGGCTCTCCCTCCGCGTCGCCGAGGACAAGCGCGCCGAACTCCGCGCTGTCCGCAAACAAGAAAAGAACCTCATCGTCCAGTCCCGCCGAGCAGCCGAGACCCTGGCCATGAACAAGCTGCACTCCCTCAACGCTTCCGAGGTCGCCAAGTCCCTGGCCGCCATGAAGAAGCGCAAGGAGCTCGACGACGCCTTCCACTTTGACAACTCGGACGAGGCCCTCGAGCGACTTGTGGTTCACTACGGCAAGGTCTCCTCGCACTCCCAGGACACCCCCGGTGCCGCCTTTGACCGGACCGTCGGCCCAAGACCCCTGGACACTGTTCCGCGCCTGCTCCCCGAGGACCGCTCCATTCCCCGCTTGTCGTCGGACGAGGTGGCCGATGCCATCGTCAAGTCCCCCAAGCGCAAGTCCTCCGGCCCGGACAAGATCAAGGCCGA